ATGTGAGAAATTTCATTAGTATCCTCTTTTCAACCATGGTAAGTTCCTTGCTATTAAAGACATCTGCTCTAGAGCAAGGCACTTGTTCTACCTTTCCTTCTCGAAATGCAAGAATCCTAGTGACATTTTTAAATTCTACATAACGACTAACATCTGATTTGATTAAAAGATCAATTAGCGATCCTTGAGAATACAGCAGTTTTGATACCAAATCAATATTAAACCTCCTTCCTTCTTTAACTATTTTAGAGTAAGTAATCCTATTTCTATTTGGTTGATTGGCATTGTCTTCTACTGTAGATCTGCTTTCATCTTTAATTCCATCTTTATCTGAAACTGTGTGTGTGCAAGTTTTACCTTCACAATACTTTTCTTTCTCCACTGATTCCTCTACATCAGTTACTTCTAGGGAAATCTCTCTATCACTTTTCTGAGTGCGTTTGGCAGGCATTTCATCGCTATTAAAGTATGTTGACTGGTTTTCTTCAGGCAAGCATGCAGAATCCAGAACTTCATTGAAGGTACTAGACACCCCTGAGGAAGGATTCTTCTGCAGAGCACCAATCTCTTCAACGTCGTCCTCCACATCCTGACTGGCGTAACAAAAAGTTTCTGTATGTTGAATAGTTTCATCCTTCTTGCGAAGAGTAATGGCTTCTTCTGTTTCATGGATCAGGTCTTGCCATGCAACAGTACTTTCCTCTCCAATGTCATTGTTTTGCTGATACTCCTTCAACCAGGATAGCAATCCTGAGAAGCTGAAACTAGCCCAGTTTCCTCCATAGTAACTTCTTGAATCAACATGTAGAACCCTCTGACCACTTCTTGAACATGCAGCTGCAAGAATGGATTCGGGCAAACCTGTCCCTATTATAATCACATCAAACTCTGTGGGAAGATTGTCCGCCATTCTAGGAAGTAAAATCGTCTGGTGACAACTGCTGATGAAAGAAATAAGGTGTGAATATGCTGTAATAAAGTCTGTCCTTCTGATGTTCCAGTTTATCCCAGAAGCTCTGAAGTTGCAGGTCCTAGCTGTTTAACGGTTACCCTTTTAAAATATTTTTTTTCTTGTAAGTCAGTAGCATAAAAACATGAGAAAGTACATCTAATCACATCTGATAATACTAAAACGGATGTGTGGTTTCATTTCTGTATTTCATCTTAGCAGTAAATGTCAAAATACACCATATATGCATTTGTGACTGGAACTCTTCTCTGAAAGAAGAAAATTCAAGAAAGAATACATTGTAAACAATGAGAAAAATAATTTCATGCAACAATAACAATCCATTGGAGTGTGACTTATTATTTGGACATAAACCTCCACTAAAGCATGTCTTAAATGCTTTCTCACATATTTTCTAATTTCTTGAAAATGAACAATAGAGATGTAACAGCCCTCCCCAAAATTAGGCGATATAATAATGGAGAATGAACATAATGTTTCACAAAAATAAAGAAGAAATAACATAACACAATTCTCTAAATTTAGCTTTTAAGAAAACTAGCATGTGAATAAAATACACAGCCGTGAGCTTAGACTAAAAGGAGCATGTGGCTCCATTGTTTATAGAAACGGATTATACACTATGTGCATACTGCTATGATTAAAAATATTTCTGTGGCCATTACAGTTTGTGTGTGATTCCAGAATAGCTGAATAGACGACCTTTCTATGCCACAACCACACGTAGGATCTCATGGTAGCCATATGAGATTATTTCTACTGAATTGCTAGTCAGATGATTAAAAAAGGATGAATTCAGTAAAACAACCAGCCATTTAAAAATATTTAGGCTCATACAGAATAGGCCTGAGGAGAAAAATGTATTTATAAAAAATATTTATATGAATGTACGTATGCATATAAGTGTAAGTAAAAAAGGAAAAAAGTGTTTTACAAATGTAAGTTAAAAAAGAAAATTCCTGGTTTCGTATTAAAGTATCTTGATATAAACAACACCTAGTCCTAACATTTGAATATGATGTTTGCATTCTGCCACTGTCTCTGCTACCCTGAATCTCTGTATCCCAACATCCTCTATCTAAACATCCTCTGCCAAGACTAACATGTTGCTTGTTCTTATTTTTGAAGGGGTAGTACAAAAAAAAAAAAAAAGACTCTCCTGGTTACATTCCATGTGCATAAGACATCTGTGTGATGCTATGTGTGGTCAGAGGTAGAAAAGCCAAGGTGCTAAAAAGCATACTCACCTCAAAGTCTTCAGACTAAAGCATCATATATATAACACTGCTAAACTTTCTAACATTCATCATTGCAGTTTTGAGCTCTGGTTTTCACTATGGTTAAACCTACTAAAATATAGATCGGTACAAGCTGGACCTGTCTAGGCCAAGATGACTAATAATCCTATATATTGGTAAAAGAAGCCATTCAATTGGAACTTAGGTTAAACTGCGTAGGTTACAGATCTTCAGTTTAACTAAAATGGCAATCCTAACATTCCTGTCTAGTCACAGCCTCTGCCTCAAGATATCAAGAATTCCACTCATTTTCAGCATTCCCTAAGAACCAGGAAATAAGTACAGAATTAAGCAGTTGCCTGGCACACTCAAGCACATATCTAAGTATGTCTGAATTACTTATTCAGCTTCCTCCAGCAGGGTGTGAAGAGGGAGACTGAATCTATGATGGTATCTGAAGAGGGTAACCACAGAATATGCTGCTTCTTGGCTTAGAAAGATAGGGCTCGGGGTAGAAGTAAGAGCAGAAGACTCAGTCAATAAGCCCTAAGATCAGGCACCTTCTAACCTACAGATATCAAAGCGGTCATCAAAACGCAAAGCAAGTAGGATGACCTTACAGAGCATTAAGCTGAACTACTCAATAATAGAGATGAGAGAACTGGTGGCTGGAGAGATTAAGTGACTTGGGAAAGCCCACACAACGCAAAGCCATAGGATCATGAATAGGATCCACTCTTGTGCCATCAGGCCAATGGTCTTTCCAACAGATAGGGCAGCCTTTCCAAAATCCTCTGCTTCAAGAAGCTATTTGCCTGATTTTTAAATTTCCTCCCCTTCAATACTCCACTGTTGGGTAGTTCTTGCTCTGGGATAACAATGCAGTAAGTGTCCTCCTTTTCTTCATCCTTAACCCTTATCTAGAAGCACAAACTCTGGAATTTACGCCAGACAAGGAAATTATCTTTGCTAAAAACTTTTAAACTCTGTAGCAACTTCACTACCAACTTGCCCCAGAGGGCTTAAATAAGTCTCTCAATCTGTTACTCCAGATTTTCCACCTCTGCATTAAAACCAGGGATAAAGTCCTGGGTGAAAGCACTAAATGCCCTGAGAAATAGGGCAGCCCTCAGGTAAAATACCTAGTGGTGAACTCAGAAAATCACTTCCGCTGGGGTGGGACCTTATAAGGGATCCTGAAGAAGAAAAACAGGAAGGGATAAGTGACTAGGAGACACAGGAGGGTAGGGTCAGCAGAGGAAAGAGGTGAGGAAGAGGGTGGATGCTAGCTAGCTAGCACTTACGCACTCAATAGACCCTTGTGTTCGAACTCCCGGGCACAAAAATAGAATTTCCAGCACAGAAAAGGCACTTCAAGGAAGTAAGAACTTTCATGTTTGTGAACAAACACCTGCTGACTACCCTGGTGAACACTATGAATGATACTTAAAGCTTGGGCTTGAATAACCTCCTTAGCATTGCCGAAGGAATTGCCTGATAGGTATTTTTAATTAATGTAAGGAGTGTAATCCCATAGCCATCCATATCACCTACAGTCCCCGCCCTAGTTTTCGAATATTTGTTCAATCGAAATTATCAGATTAAAGCTTCTATGAGGGCCAGGGAGGAAAATATAATAAATAAACATTGAGGCAATCAAATAAAATCGTTATTTCTCTATTTCTTATTTCCCTCAAAACGTCAAAAAATAAATCATTACAAACATATTTGAGTTTGTCATAGCATAGAGGTTACTGAATAAGAAAATATTTTTGATAATTCTACAAAGATTTTGCTCTCCCAAACCTACCAAAATAAAAGCAATAATAAAGTATCCATGGATTTCAGGATTTAAAAAAGGAATTTTAAGCCTTGAGAAATACATATTTCTATTTCAAATCTCCCTACACATGAAATTCCTGAAGCACACAAAAATAATTCCTTTCCTACATTTCCTTCAAAACAACATGTCTCAGTGAAACTTAAATCTTCCACAGTAAAGAGTATTGTGGAAATAAATCTTCAACAACATAAGTTCTACTTTAATGAAGTCTACCGGCTGCAGAGCTAATTACAGTTTTTGTTCTTCTGAAATGACACTGGCCGAGCCATCTGTAATGTCACCGGAGACTCCGGTGTGCTGGAACCCGTAAGAAGGAAACTACAGTAAAAATAGCTTATAGGGCACATGCCAATTTGCGTTCCGAGGGCCTGAATGAAACTGTCTGGCTCCCTAGAAACCATTCAAAGGTTTACAAGGACTAATGAGGATTTTTTTTTTTTTTCTAAACATTGCTATTTTCGTTTTTTACTGTCATTTTAGGAAGCAAATAGTAGTACAGGAATCTAATTTCATCACCCCCTCCAACTTTGGCGAGTTAATCCTTTCTATCCTTGAATCTCCTGACTCTACCGGCCCTCGTCTCTTTCCTCAAAGTGTAAAAAAGAACGTGGTTTCGTGCCCTGCTGAGTTATTTTAGGCGGTGAAAACAAATGAGAAGGAGACGGGCTGGAGTTTGGGGTCAACGTGGGGCGCAGAAGACAGACGACAGGAACGCAGCCGGGGCGGCGTGGGGCGGAAGGGGACGGAGGAGGCCGAGCGGGGGGCAGGTGGCGCGGGGCGCAGGTGGCGCGGGGGGCGGGGGCGCGGGGCGCGCGGGGAGCAGGGGGCGCGGGGCGCGCGGGAAGCCGTGCGGGGCGGGCGGGGGCGTGCGGGCGCACGGAGCGCGCGGCGGGGCGGGAAGCGGAAGTCCGCGGAGGGGAGGCTGCCTCCTCCTCCCGGTCCGACTCACCGAAGAGGCTGCCGCTAAACCCGTCCCACGCGCAGCCCACGGCGTCCCACACCCAGCCGTTCCTCAGGCAGGACGCGAAGGTAAAGGTGACCCCGAAGAGGGACACCAGCAGGTTGCTGAGGCTGACGTTGACCAGGAGGAGGTGGGTGGGAGTGCGGAGTCGCTGGAACTTGTAGTAGAGGACGAGCACCAGCAGGTTGTCGCCGGCGCCCAGCAGCCCTATGGAGCCCAGCAGCAGCGCCAGGCGCTCGTAGGTGCCGGGGCTGAAGAGCGGCGCGGGGCTCAGTGTCCCCGCCGGCGCCGGCCCCTCGGCGCCTGCGGCCCCGCCGCCTTCCCAGTAGCCCTGGCCGCCGCTGCGGTTCCCCGAGTACATGGCCCGGAGCCGGCGCGCTGGGCGGGCGGAGGCGCTCAGCGTGCGACCCGGCTCGCGGCGCGCTCCACACCGGGTGGGGCTCGGGCTCTGCCGCCGGCTCTGGCCATTGTGCTCTGAGGGGCCCGCGCTGCCGCGCGCCGGGCCCGCCCTGTCCCCGCCCCTTCCGCCCGCGAATCCCGCCGTGGCCCCGCCCCTCGCCGCAGCGCGTCCTCCTAGCCCCGCCCCTCTTAGGCGCGTCCTCGGGGCTGGCTGGTCCCGCCCCCCCGGCTGAGCCCTCTCCTCTGGGCAGCGTGCACGCGCGTTGAGGGAGAGCCGGGGAGCCAGGGCCGCAGGGTGGCCTTGCTGGCTCCTCACACCCCCACCTTCCTGCACCCAGCCTGAAAGCTTCCTGTCCACTCACCCATTCACTCACTCGCTTATGCATTCATTTATTCCTAAGTATTTATGGGTGCCCACGCCCACCTCGTGCTGGCGGGATTTGGGCTTCTCCCCTTCCTGGGAAGCTGTAATAACCCACCACCAGCCTACGAAGCCCATCCCGCCTCATACATTTAATGCAAACAAAAGCAAAGAAAACATTGAAGAGCTCAGGGTGGCCTTACAAACCAGAAAACTGAAAAGAAATACAACGAATTGATAGGCGCCTGCCTAACTACCTGAGAGCTGGAGGACATATGTCCCAGGGCTTTTACAAGAGCCTGCCAACCTCAGAGAGTCTGGGATGAAAACTCTCTGAAAATGGCATTCCAATGAAACTGACTTTAAGTCCTGGTCTGGACCCCAAGGCCTTTCAATACCATCCTTCCTGTGCTGGAAAGCGTGGGTAGATCTTTTCTGTCACTGAGTCCTGCTGAAGTCCTTCAAAGGCAGTGAAAGATTCAACCTAAATCTAGCAGGTATAGGAGGCAGGTGCTATATTTAGAACAGCACACATTTTCCACTGGCCCTCTTCTCCTGTAGTGATGAAAATATAGTACAAGTCAAATATAGGTTGTGAACGTCATCACACTCTCCAAGGACTGCTTCTGCCTTTGTCACTGCACAGTCCCTAAGGAGGCCCTACAGGAGGATCACAGTCCTGAACCACACCTGCAGACTGTCGTGGACACTGGTGATGAACACAGGGTTTGTTCAAGTTAAAGAAATTGCTTTCCATATGGACGTTTACCACTCTCACCTCTGTTTGAAAGATCAGTAGGGAATGATTAGCTTTGATCAATTTACATTACGAATTCCCTAGAGAGAGGATCTAATAGGCTGGCAGCAGCTCTTCACCTTGGTGCATTGAGCAATTGCTAAGGGGCAGTGTGCTCTGCCTTCGACACCTTTATTTTCCTTCAAGGCTTCTGCTCTGGATTTGCCATCTGTGAGACTTTCACCCCTTAAAAAAAGACACATCTAATTGTTAATTTTAGATTTGTGCAACCATTCAACAAAACATGACCATTTAACAAGTTGTGTATGTTTAATGTCCAGTATGTTTTCCATGCCTAGTCTACAGTAGGTTCTCAATAAGTAGTAATTTGAATGAATGAATAAAGAAGAACTCACTGTATTTTTTCCTATTCATTCTTTGTTGCTGAGTCCTTGCCCTTGGAAAGCTTGCATTCCAATAGTGTTGGGGAAACAGACAAAAATTAGATAAGTACATATGTAAGGTATTAGCCGGTGGCAAATGCCATAAAGAAATATAAGGTGTCAGGCATGGTGACTTGTTCCTGTAACTCCAGCACTTTGGGAGGCCAAGGCAGTAGGATTCCTTAAGCCCAGGAGTTCAAGACCAGCCTGGGTAACAAAGTGAGAACTCCTCCAACTTCAAAAAATAGAAAACTAGCTGGGCAAGAAGTACATGTCCATAATCCTAGCTACTGAGGAGGCTGAGGCAGGAGCTATGGGAGATGGGGAAAGAGGTTTGTAAGAGTTACAGAGAGGAAAGAAGCATAAATAGTAACTTAACAGTCAGACAGGTTTATTTTGGAGAATAAACCTGAGAGGGGCTTCTGGCCAGTTTCAGTCAGGAGCTCTCTCTCTTACAGACTGAGAGTACTTAAGGGTTTTAGGACAAGAGAGCTTATTACAGGCTTGGAATGTTTCTGTGTGGAGGATAAGTTTATTGCGGGGTTGGAATGTCTCTGTTGGAGGATATCTCAGGGCTGGCATGTCTCTGGTCAGGGAGGGGTTTATATTAAGGTTGGAGCGTTTCTGGTCAGAGGTGTCATTTGTGGTTTATGGTCTTGCTGACCTTAGGCCATTAGGCTGATGCCTTTGGGATTTATGTGGTTTTTAATCAAGGGGAACTTTAACATGGTGATGCTTGTCCAAGGTGGCAATGGTCCTGCTCTGTCAAGGTTGTTATTTAGACAAGGTGGTTATGGGCAATAGGACTGTGCTTGACATGTTGGAGGAACAATAAGGAAGCAAGAATAAGAATCAGGAAATGCAGCCAGCAAGGTGAGTGAGTGCTGAATGGTCAGATTATGCAGGACCTTTGTTGTTTCAATAAAAGGACTTTGGCTTTTACTCAATCAGAGTAAAATCCAGGCCAATGCCTACTAGCAGTGAATGCAAAGGAGGAGTAAGAGGCCTTTGACAAATGTTTAAGCATTTTTGATACAGTAATTTTACAATATTATGAACTGTTAAAGACATTTATTGAGCTTGACAGAAACAGGGAATGATACCACATATATGATTTCATTTTTCAATAAGAATATCTATTTTTTTTAATTTTAGAATTATGTAATGATAGGATAATGGCAAAACACTACAACCTTTTATTAAAAAAAAAAAGACAACTTAAAAAGCAAGTGCAATGTCAGCATGATGTAGTTTAGCTCTTTGCCCCCACCCAAATCTCATGTTGAAATGTAATCGCTAATATTGGAGGTGGGGCATTGTGGGAGGTGTTTGGGTCACAGAGGCGGATCCCTCGTGAATGGCCTCAGCCATCCCCTTCTTATAAGTGAACTCTAGTTCTGTGTTCACATGAAGATCTAAAAGTGTGTGGCAACTCCCCCATCTCTCCTCTCTCTCTCTCTCTCTCTCTCTCTCTCTCTCTCTCTCTCTCTCTCAATTTGTTTGTTGCCATGTGAGATGCCTGCTCTCACTTTGCCTTCCACCATGAGTAAAGGCTCTCTGAGGCCTCCCCAGAAGCTGAGCAGATGCCAACACCATGCTTCCTGTACAGCCTGCAGAACTGTGAGCCAATTAAACTTCTTTTCTTTATAAATTACCCAGTCTTAGGTATTTAGAGCAATGCAAGAATGGCCTACTACGTAGCATAAGGACAAACAGGTAGACCAATGGAATAGAATAGAGAGCCAAGATATAAACTGTTACATATATGGTCAATTGGTTTTTGACAAGGATGCCACGGTCATTCTGTAGAGAAAGGACAGTCTTTTCAACAAATAGTGCTGGGCAAACTGCATATCCATGTGCAAAAGAATGAAGTTGAGCCTTACGTTATATCATATATAAAAACTCAAAATTAATTGAAGACCTAAATGTAAACGCTAAAACTATAAAACTCTTAGAAGAAAATTTCTTGGGTATGACACCAAAAGCACAGATAACAGGACAAAAAAATAGATAAATTGGACTATATCAAAATTCAATCTGTTGTACATCAAAGGGCACTATCAAAAGAGTGAAAAGACAACCCACCAAATGGGAGAAATATTTGCAAATCATACATCTGATAAGGCATTACTATCCAGACTATATAAAGAACCTCTATAATGCAACAACAAAAAACTCCATACAACCCAATTCAGAAATAGGCAAAGGATCTGAGTAGACATTACTCCAACAATATACTAATAGCCAAAAAGCACATGGAAAGAAACTCACCATGATTAGTCATTAGCGAAATGCAAATCAAAACCACAATGACATACCACTTCACACCTACTAGAAAGGCTATCATCAAAAAACAAAACAAAAAATGCAAAAATAAGCATTAGTAAAGATTTGGAGAAATTAGAACCCTTTTGTACTGCTGATGGGAACGTAAGATGGTGTGGCTGCTGTGGAAAACAATTTGGTAGTTCCACAAAAAGTTAAACATAGAATTATTGTGAGCTCATGCGTATAATCTCAGTGCTTTGGGAAGCTTAAGCAGGATGATTGCTTGAGGCCAAGAGTTCAATGACCAGCCTGGGTTACATAGTAAGACTCCATCTCTACAGAAAAAATTTGAAAGTTAGCTGAGTGTTGTGGCACATACCTGTAGTCCCACCCAGCTACTCAGGAGGCTAAGATGGAAATATCCCTTGAGCCCAGGAGTTTGAGGCTGCAATGAGCTGTGATCATGTCACTGCACTCCAGCCTGGGCAACAGAGTGAGACCCTGTCACAAAACAAAAAATTAAAACAAAAAGAATTGCCATATGATCTAGCAATCCTGTTCCTAGGTATATACACAAAAGATTTGAAAGCAGGGACTCAAATAGATATTTGTATACTAATATTCAAAATGTTCATTATACAAAATAGCCAAAAAGTAAAAACAACTCAAATACCCATCAACAGATGAATGATACGTGGAATGTGGTGTATATATACAATGGGATATTATTCAGGCATATTTGGAAAGAAATGAAATTCAGTACATGCTACAATATGAAAGAACCCTGTAAACATTATAAGTGAAATAAACCAAACACAAAAGGACAAATATGATATGATCCTAATGACGTGAGGTAACTGTAACAGGCAAATTCATAGAGACAGAGAGTAGAATGGTGGTTACCAGAAGGTGAGAAGAGGGAAGAATGAAAAGTGAGTGTTTAATGGGTACAGAGTTTCTGTTTAAGATGATGAAAAAATTCTGGAGATGAATAGTAGTGATGGTTGCACAAGACTGTACATGCGTGCAGTGCCACTGAATGGCACACTTAAAAATGATTAGAAGGGGAAATTTTATGTTATATATATTTTTTACCACTTTTTTTTTTTAGAAAAGAAAAAAGCATGTGCAAATTGTGCGTGCATCTCACTCTCTCAGAGTGGGAGAAGTGAACTGCTATAACCAGCTGATGAAGCAAGCTGAACTCAGTATGCTGCCACCAAAAAGCAACTGGTTCTCCCTACTCATTTCAAATATGTTCTGACCACCTGCTCCTTCCTGCCCTTAGGAATTTTGGCAGCTTC